AAACTTTAACAAGTGCGCCTGTCAAAAAGGAAATATGGTAGCAACGTTTTTGTTGCTATATCACACCGTCGCCGATCGGCGTCCCGTGGGGGGCAACGATTTAAAGTACACGTGTTTTGCCCTGTCATGGTGTCGTTGGCCTAGTGGTTAGGGTACCGGACTCGTAATCGTTAAGTTGTCGGTGACCTAGTCGTCAGGTTACCGGACTCGTAATCGTGAGGTTGCGGGGTTGGGGGGTTCGAGCCGCGGGCCCGACGGTGTGTCCTTGGGAAAGGCACTTTACACGAATTTTCCTGACTTCACACAGTTGGGAATTGGTACCCAGCCACAGACAGCGAAAGATCTTGTCAGTGTGTTAGTGTTTCAGCTCCTATAAATGGCTGCTTGCACTGTATGCTTCCCATGAAGCTGAGGTTATTTCAGAATGCTCTCAGGTCTGCTGGGGCAATAGTACAGATTGTGAAGCGCATAGAGCTTGCTGCTGAGCGGGGATTTGCGCTATACAAATGCTATCTATCTATTATTTTTTTTATTATTATCTTTTTTTAAATTATTATTATTATTATTATTATTATTATTTTTTATATTAATATTATTATTATTATCATCATCATCATAGTTCAATCTTGACCTCGACAGCTTTACGTTGGCATTGGTACGCCAACATGAACTTATTAAAATGCAACATTTTTTAAATGTATTTTTATATTTTTTATTTTCTTTGGTAGTGTTGCTGTGGTTAAAATGTTAAAAACAATTAGGAAACGACAAATGCAGTTTTTGGGACACCTGAATAGACAAAAGGGTCTTGAACATCTAGCTCTCACTGGCAATATTGAGGGCAAGCGAGGCAGGGGTAGGCCCAGAACAACATACTTAGGGAACCTAAACAAATGGGTAACAGGAAAAGATCAGGGAAACGTAGCTTTTTTGAGAGCATCCGAGCAAATGAATGAATGGAAAACCATGATCGCCGATGTCTGTCGCAGATCTGGCACTGGATGATGGTGATGGTGATGATGATGATGATGATGATGATGATGATGATGATGATGATGATGATGAGGATGAGAGTAGCTGTTTTTACACCCCTATGGACACAATTTGAATCATTTAGGAGACGGGTTTGGACCAGCCTGTCAGGGCCATTCTGGCCTGAGATGGATACCATCCCAGCAGAAAGACCTAGATACTCGATGAAAATTCTGCCCACTCGGGAATCGAACTCGAGTCTCCTGAATGCGACGGCGAAAGCACCTAGCCGCAACACTGTAGACGCCAGTCAATTCCTCTGTGAATCATATACACTATTTAAAGAGCAAGGTGTTCTTTTGATGATGCATGTTCATTCACAAGTTCGATTATCGTTAAATGTAAACTTTAACCTTCCTTTCGGAACTGACTTGACCTAGTGCACACATGCCGTGACGTTATGCGCGAAAGACGCTTTTGGCTTATTTCGTTACGGTATGATACTAAAACCTTTTTTATTTTTGGTCTGTTCAGATCGCGGGCCAACCGAAGCAGACTTGCAGTTATGTCGGGTTTTTTAAAGAGTAAATTGTTCAGTAAACCTAAACTTTCGCTCCTTCCCCTTAGATCTTCCTGATCTACATTTCCATTCACAAAAATGTATTACTATAGTGCTGTCAAAAGTCATTGCGCAACTTATTGGCAAATATTTCCTCAACTGTCGAACATAGACTCTCCTGCTTTTGCACAATGACTTGTGTCGATTTTTTTAACAGATCACTACTTGTTGTAAACATCTGTCAGCTGTATTCTAGAAAATTCCATGATAAATGTAGATATTAATTTTTATAATTCAAGTGGGTGGTTTCCACAGATTTTTAAAGATTTACAGCTGGGGCAATTTAAAAGCAAGTCCGTCATGTTTTTCTAATCGTGACATAATGCTTATTGAACGTATGTTCTGAGAACCGTTAGTGCAAAAAAGTGTTAATTATGAAATCAATTTCTTGTAACAAATTTCGCCACAAAACAGTGTCATTGTTGAGCTGTGACGTAGGCCGTGTGTGTATGCAAAATGCGGGTAAGAAGAGGGAAGTGCTGTAAATAATCCCATTTTCCGCGTGACGGAGACTTATAGTATTTTATATGAATTTATGAGAAAAAATTTTTATCTAGCCTCAATAGCTGTGGGAAAATATGATTTAATTAAGAAAAAATTATACAAACTGCTGTGCAAAGTAGGGTGATACTGATTCACTCGTTAAAGAGATATTTGTAGGTAAGTTGTGCCACGCAATTTTGATGCACTATAATAAAATAAAAAAAGAAACCCTTTCTTTATCATCATGATAACTGAACATTATTATTTTGCTTGAGTTATGTGCAACAGTGTAGCGGCCAGGCACTTCTCTGTCGCACACAGGAGGCCTGAGTTCGATTCCCGAGTAGGGAGAACAGTTTTATTTAGTATGTCGCTCTTTCTGCTGAGATGTTGTTTCCATCTCAACCCGGAATGGCCCCTGATAGGCAGGGTCGGGATTCCACCTCTTAAATGATCTATAATGTTGTACTGATTGGGGGGGGGGAGGGGGGTAAAAACACCTGTTTTTAACCAAAAAGAATAATGTTATGATTCCACTATCAGATAAACTGTTAACAAAGGAATACATTTTTTCACCTCTCAAAAGACGTAGCGGACACTTAATTCATAAGATAAGATAAGATAAGATAAGATAAGATAAGATAAGATAAGATAAGATAAGATAATACTTTATTGTCTCTGATGGAAATTTTTCTTGACTGTACAGGGCCGTAAATACACATGCAGGTATACATTAATATTATTATTACTCTCATTGAAATTCAATATGGAAAAAAAAATAAAGCTTAAAAAAATAATGCACATACCACGTCACCACATGCAGGAATTTAATTACTTTTGAAGTTTTATAGATACATACTCGAAAAAGCAATACACATTGATGTTTATCCTGACAGTATGGCCTTATACGTATACTACATGGTAAAAAGAATTTCTTTTATATTTTTCTTTCTTGCTCGATCAGCGAACCTCAGGCAAGGTTGAGCACATTTCGAACCAATAATATAAACGCTAAATAATACACACAAGAAATAAAATGGAGAATTGCAATGGCTACGGCTTGTTTCAATAAAAATGAGCCCAATCCTGAAAAATAGAAACATCTCAATGACTACCATAATAAAAGTTCGGAAATGCTAGCTTTGGTCAACTATATGGCTGTGAATGCTGGATAATCACTAGAGACAGTGAAGATAAAATAGAAGCAACAGAAATGTGGTTTCTTAGGAGACTGCTGGGAATATCGTGGAAGGAAAAGAAATCAAATGAGGTAATGCTTGATGAAGCCCACGTGGGACGCTCACTGTCAAAAACAATCAGGAAACGACAAAAGCAGTTTTGGGGACACATGAATAGACATAAAGATCTTGAACATCTAGCTCTCGCTGGCAAAATTGAAGGCAAACGAGGCAGGGGAAGTCACAGAGAAACGTACTTAGGGAACCTAAACAAATGAATCACGGGGAAAGATCAGGGAAACATATCTTTTTTTAAGAGCATCCGAGCAAAGAAATGAATGGAGAACCAAGAACGCCGATGTCTGTCACAGATCTATGATGATGACCTTTTTATAGAATAGTTTAAAATTTTTAAAAATACCGGTCTTCTATTCTAGATCGACAAACCCAGGTCAAGGAATTGGTTTTCATCAAAGTAAAACGCTGGTGCTCTTATGAAGTTATGCAGTGACGAGCGCTGTAGAACCTTACTAAAACTTTAGAAATTTAAAGTAAAACGCCTCTGAATAACAGGGTCGTTTAGCGCAAGAAAAATACAAGGCATTCAATAAGAGAAAGAACAGAGGAAAAGAAGACTAAAAGAACCTACCAGTCGTGACCGGTCTGTGTGAATAGCGTGGGTTTGGGGGTTGCTGGGGGGGTTTTTCTTTGGGGTTTTTTAAAAAATAATATTTCAATATCGTGCGTCTTTAAGCGTTCTCCAATGTCAAGAAGGCGCATCGTCAATGAGTTTCAAAAAGGGAGTGATGACTCATGTAGATATATTGGCAGTAAAGCGGGATATTCTTCAAGCGTTTTCTTTGTGGATACTTATTCGAGGAATAATATATTCATAATCTGGCCTTTGTCTGACCACTTGCAGCGGAGTGATTCAGGGGAGTCAGCGTTACAATAGAATGCTGTTGTTGTCTGCTGTGTGTAAAAAAATACCAATTCTTTATATGTTTTTTTTTAATTGGTTGTTGGTTGTTGGGGGGGGGGGGTGTCTTTTTTAAACTGATGTGTCTTCGCATCTAACCTCTATTCCACAGACGCAGGTCTTTTCATTGGGTATCTTTTTCTGACTTGAGATGACTCTAAACTTGACAGGTTCAGAGATCCAGTTATCTTCCAAACTAGGTATAAATGTCATAATAACAATAATAATAATGGATTGCATTTATATAGCGCATATCCACTTATGCAATGCTCTATGCGCTTAACATGATACATATAATGGATTTACAAATCAATTTTAAAGGTACATGGTGTTACATACTCATGCAAACACATATTCACTCACGCACGCACCACACACACATACATACTCACATACACACATACGTACATATGCACATACGCTGCAGCATTGGGAGACAACATGAAAAAAACAACCCAGAACAAGGATTTTTTTAAAGAAAAAGTATAGAGAAAAAAAGAAATAAAGAAAAAAGGGGGGACTAGAATACGGAGAGAAAAAGAGAGAGAGAGAGAGGGGGGGGGGGGAGGGAGAAAAACATGAGGTGGAAACATAAGTCAGGGAGACAGAGTTTTAAAAAAAACTCCAATTAAATAAAATGCATGCTGGAGTTTGTTTGCGCAAAGAGCAGCACATTGAAACACAACAGTGACGTCACTTTTTATCATACAAATCTGACCTTTTTTTTACTTTAATTTATCGTTTAAAATTGTGTTTTTGTTTTACTTACCGAAGCCGAAACGCCATCTTCATACGACTTGTTGTGGTCCGCTATTCCTGTATCGCTGAAGTTCTGTCCCAAAATGTCCGTTTGTTTCGGCTACTCTGTCACATGAACAAACTAAGTGCACACTGTTTGGTCGTATTGGAAGTTATTGTAAAACAACGAGTGGGTGGGCGAAAGCTCCAGCAAACAAAGTCCAGCTCTTATAGACAGTGACTGCTGTATTACGTCCTAGCATCTGTGACGAGCCCGACAAGTCGACAAAGGTACATGTTGAAACAAGAGTCCTAGATCGCCGTCCTTCTATTTTTTTAAAAGCTCATTTCTTTCCTTCCCTCCGTCAATTCAACATTAATAAAAGTGTCCTACAAACAGCAGCTTTCCGGCGATTTAAATGTAATTTCATTTTAATAGAATTCAAGATAAGCTCTCCTCTCCCTTCTTTCGCCCGCTATACGAAAGTACAATGGCTTAGGCTGCTGTGCGCGAAACTAATTACGAATTAATACTATTATTTATTTCTAGTATACGGGATTAGAGATTTAGGAACGCTTTCTTAGCGGCCTACATAAGAGCTACGTATCTAGAAAAAAAACATTGTAGTGAAATAACCCCGAGAATGTTATATTCTCCCAAGGCGATTAGGTCTCTTCAGAAGCAGAGCTAGTGACGTCCACTGTATTTGCTGAAGGACAAGGTGTGTCTAGTATATTTATATATATACATGTATATCTACCTGAGGATCATCCCATCCCCCCTCCCACCCCACCCCCGTCCCCACCACAAATCGGTATCCAGTTACAGCTCGACACAATGACGTTCTCGAAACTTTGCAGCTTCTCCCCCGGTCCGTCGTGGGACTTTTTAACCATCCTGTCAGCTTGGAGCGAGCTTGCACGAGTGAGATGATTTGGTAAATATAGCAAAGCGTGTGGAAAATCCTGGGGGTTTTGAGTCAAAAGAAAGCGTTCAATCACGAATACGTTCTTTAAGTGCTAGAAAGAAAAAAAAAATACCCATAGATAAAGAGAAGCAACAGAAAAAGGAGGGCAGACTTTTACGTCAAATCAAAAAGCACCTTGCATCCAACTTCCACCAAAAACGGTGAGGGGAAACCGAGTAAAGAGGATGGGGGAGGGGGGGGGGACGGTTGTTTGAATACAGCTGACCAAGTTTTCAGATTAAAACATTGATGTCGTGCAGATAAAACTATTCCGTTATTCGATGATACATAAAAAGTAAATCCCAGCATTCCTTCTTAAAAATCAATACTGTACAGCTGAGTAATACTACGCATGACTCCCCACCCTTTTTCTTCTCCTTTTTACCAAACGCTATAGGGCATTTTTGAAAAGAAAAAAAACCTACAAGCCTGCGCATTCACGAACAGAGCACACCTTTTCTAATGGTGAGATTGCACACGACATTAATATTTATACTCAAATGGACATGTGTGGAGTCTGCCTCGTGATCTTGTCTCACCTATTTTCTTTTCCTCTTTCGCTCTACTTCCCATAGAAATAGAAGGGAACTGAAGAGACGTGACAATGTGTGATGAGTATTACGTCATTGAATTGACGCGCAGCTAGCCATAGATTTATAACATTAAACATATCCTAGATCGAGCACTTTGGTACGCATACATTATGATGTGTATTTCCGGTTCACTATGGAGGGCGTGATATTTTAATTTGATTAGAGCTAGATGAAGGGCAAGGCCTAATTCGACAGTAGCGAAACTGGTGTTTTGCACTCTATTTGGGGGGTAAAATTGCGCCACGCACAGTACGCACGCTTGGCAACGAAGATTTTTTCAAAAAGGGCAAAAACCAGCGGCCATGAAAGTACGCAGTCTCGGAGTATAAGTCTATGGAATACACTAAAACATTCTTCCATAGCTACATCATCTTATTACTGGAGGAAGCACGTCCTCACTGCTTTTCTACGTATACAGCCGAATATCATCATCAAATTATCAACAGAAAGGCTTTGTTTTCTGGATCGACAAGCCCAGTTAGAGGAAACAAGTTTGGGTAAAGTACATGTACAACGACCCAGTAATGGTTATCTAATGCTGGAAGAAGGCAAGACATGAACAAAAAAACAACAGTGGAAAACGAATTTAATGCGACATAGCAGATACATAAGTAGCAACTTCAAACCAGCCGTTTGAGGAATAAATAATACCCTAGATCGAGCACCCTGATCTGACATTTTCCGGTTCACAATGGAGCACATGGTATTTTTTTTAAATTCAACTTGAGCCACACGAAGGACAGTGGCACACTAAACTGAAGTGAGACTGACGTCAATTCTTACGTTTTTCCACCTCAAAAGCGCAATTAGAACTTTCTTAGGGCGTGCTGCCCCGGCCCTTCTGCCCGGCACAAGTAAATGAGGGGTACAATCAGATCCAGATGCCGAAATACTCGCGAAGAATTGTGTCTCCCGATTTTTTAACTCTCCAAGTGTCGATGCTCGCGCATAATAAGATCTTATGCAGTTGCAAGCCCCGTAAAACCTTACTAGAACAAAAGTGGCAATGATAAATAGCCTGTGGTGTCATTGTGTGTTCTTGTTAGGCAACATTGTGTGATTTCACCATACTATGTAAGAAAGTGCTTATGAACGGGCGCACTGTACCAAGCAAGTACAGCCGTAAACCTATACATTTTCAGAGAGTAAAATGAAAAAAAAGAAAAAAGGAAAGCTCATTTGTAAAGGAGTTGAAATAGCGATTAAATTGGCTGCAAAATTACAAAACGAAACTTTATCTGCCGTCGACAAAAGGGGGTTAAGAATCGATTTCAAATCGCATAGAAGTACAAAGTTCTATCAATCCAGTAGAATCTACCTAGTTTTGAGAAATTTGACGCCACAATTTTGAGGGTCACAACATGTCAAGCTTTTTCGAATGCAATTCTTTGAATATTATCTTGATCATGAATCCGATTAATCTTACGATTTTGATAGAACAGATAGAACATAGTTTCTGACCTCTGTAACTTTGTAATTCTAAGATAGCGATTAGGGGGTTAAGAATCGAACTCATACGCTTTGACTGCAATGTCTTTGCCACAACATCGGAGACTCCCGTATAGACCAAGCCAAGAACCACAACCTTGCCTCATGGCACAACACAATGAAGAGTTGTCCTCTATCCTACGTCACTTTGTTTCCACCACAGGACAAGGTGGGGAATTTCAAAAACAAAATCAGTATACGTCTTCGGATCAGATCATGATTGTTTGTCAATGTCCCTCCCCCCCCCCTC